AGGGCCATCAACTTGGTGAAAGATGCTCCTTGGTCTGCCCGAACCTTGTTGGTCTTCCAGAACAAAAAGTTGATCCCAACTGAGTTTTGCAGACTGGCACATTCCAAGGTCCAGGACTATGGGCTGAGGGATACACTAAAGCTTGGGACAGCTGCCGCCAAGGTACAGTGGGGAAAGACCACTGTCTGAAGTCTTCCTGCTGAAGGTAAATGGGGGTCTGCTCAGTTATCGGACCCTCGTAGCACCTCAAATATATGTAAATATTAGTATTGTTTGTGTAGGAGAGGTCTTTGATTTTTTTTGGATAGAGTCAAAGTCCAATGTTTTTGCAACTGTGCAGAACCAAAACTGCTTTTGTGTCAATGTATATATACAGAAAGATTTTCTGATGAATAAAGTATATTTTTGAAATAAAAAAATTCTGGGAAAAGTTGGCTCAGTTACCACCGAACAGCAGAGTGAGAAAGAACCCAATGTCAAGGAACAGTAAGCCCCAAACATTACTATAATGTTTCCATCCTTCCCTCCTCCTCTAACCAAAAACAAGAGGAGAGAGAGACAGACTGTTAGGACATTTGTTGCAGGCTAGAGGGTATTTGGTCTGCTTGTAAAGATTGCACTGTAATTTAAGTGACCAGTTAGTACAGCTAGTTGGCGTTAAGTGCAGGCTTAGGTGAATACTGGGCTTCAGTGAGTAAGGCAAGCAAGGTAAGATTCTTTTATCTTTCTGAGTGTATTGGGGCAGAAATGGCAGTTAGGGCAGTGGCATGCTCCTCCTGCCAGATGTGGGAGATTAGGGGGCAGTCTGACGTCCCTGATGACTATGTCTGTAGAAGTGTGACTGGCTGCAGCTCCTCACAGGCCACATTGTTTGGTTGGAGCAGCAGTTGAACACACTGAGGGGCATACAGGGGGAAGAGAGCGTGATAGACACTAGTTACAGGGAGGTGGTTACACCAGAGGTTCAGACAGGTAGATGGTCACCACCAGGTGAGGCAGGCAGTAAGAGGGGGGATCTCCTATGGCTATTCTCCTCTCTAACAGGTACACCATTTTGGATACTGTTGGATGGGTGGGATAGCCTCTCAGGGGAATATAACAGCAGCAGCCAGGCCTGCGGCACCACAACTGGCTCTGCCATAGAGCAGGTTTGGGCAAGATCCAAGCAAGCGAGTGGTCGGAGACTCACTAGTTAGGGGCACAGACAAGCTGCGTCCAAGACTCCAGGATGGTGTGTTGCCTCCCTGGTGCCAGGGTCAGGGATATCTCTGGGCGGGTGCACGAAATTCTTAAGGGGTAGGGTGAGCAGCCGGAGGTCGTGGTGCACATCAGTACCAACGACACAGGGTGGAAGGAGGGATGAGTTCCTGCAGAGTGAGTACAGGGAGTTAGAAAAGACACTGAAAAGCAGGGTAGTAATCTCTGAGTTACTGCCAGTACCACGTGCTAGTGAGGCAACGAATAGAAAGATAGGACCGATGAATACGTGGCTAAGGAGCTGGTGTGGGTGGGGTGGGGACAACAGGGTTTCAGGTTCTTGAATCATTAGGACCTCTTCTGGGGCAGGGGTGACCTATACAACAGGGACAGGTTGTACATAAACTGGAGGGGAACTAATATCCTCGCAGGAACGGTTTGCCGGTGCTACTTGGGAGGGTTTAAACTAGAGTGGCAGGGGTGGATCAGTACTTGGGACTATGATATTGTGGCCATTACAGAGACTTGGTTGACTGAGGGACAGGACTGACTGTTCAACATTCCAGGGTTTCATTGTTTTAGACAAGATAGAGAGGAAGGTAAAACAGATGAAGGCGTTGCATTACTAATCAGGGAGAACGTTACATCTGCACTCAGAGAGGACATATTGGAAGGGTCATCCACTGAGGCAATATGGGTAGAGGGTAAATAAGCTGGGTGCAATCTCTCTGATAGGATTATACTATAGGATCCCCAACAGTCACTGAGAAAATGAGGAACAAATATTTAGGCAGATTATGGAAAAATGCAATAAAAACAGAGTTCTCATAGTGGGTGACTTTAACTCCCCTGGTACTAATTGGCACTCCCTTAGAGTAAGAGGCTTAGACAGTGCAGAATTTGTTAGGTGCATCCAAGAGGATTTCTTGAAATAATGTAGATAGTCCAACTACAGGAGGGGCCATACTGGATCTTGTATTGGCTAATGAGCCTGGCCAGGTGACTGACTTTTCAGTGGGGCAGAATTTTGGAAACAGTGATCATAACTCCTTAAGTTTTAAGATAGCCATGAACAAGGATAAGTCAGGACCTTGAGGGAAGTTACTAAGTTGGGAGAAGGCAAATTACGTCACTATTAGGCAGGAGCTAAGGCATATTAATTAGGAGGAGCTGTTATTAGGCAAGTCCACATTTGACATATGGGAATTGTTTAAAGACCGGCATGTTCCAGTAAGGAGAAAGGACAAGGATGGCAAAGTGATGGACCCTTGGATAACAGGGAAGGTTGTGAATTTAGTCAAAAGGAAAAAAGATGCACATGCAAGGTTTAGGAAACGAAATTCGGACAGGGCCTGTGAGGAGTATAAGGAAAGCAATGCAGAATGATGCCAACAGTGCAAACTTGGTTGCCAGACTGGCTAATGTTACCAGAGAACATGGAACTATACAGCACAGGAACAGGCCCTTCAGCCCATGATGTACTGCTGAACATGACACTAGATGAATCTAATTCCTTCTGCCTGCCCTTGGTCCATATCCCTCCATTCCTTGCATGTTCATGTGCTTATCTGAAAGTCCCTTAAATGCCCTTTTCGTACCTGCCTCAACCACCACGCTGGCAGTGCGTTCCAGACTCCTACCACTCTCTGTGTAAAAAAAACTTGCCCCTCACATCACCTTTGAACTGCTTTCCTCTCACCTTAAATGCATACCCTGTAATATTAGATACTTCAACTCTGAGAAAAATATTCTGACCGTCAACCCTATCTATGCATCTCATAATTTTATATATTTCTATCAAGTCTCCCCTCAGCCTGTGCCACTCAAGAGAAAACAACCCTAGCCTCTCCTGATAGTGCAAACCCTCTAATCCAGGCAGCATCCTGATAAACCTCTTCTGCACCCTCTCCAAAGTCTCCACATCCTTCCTATAATGTGGCGACCAAAGTCTTATAAAGCTGCAAAGTGACATCATGAATCCTGTACTCAATTGCCCGATCAATAAAGATAAGCACGCCATATGCCTTCTTTACCAGCCTATCTACTTGCGTGGCTACTTTTAGGGAATGATGCAATTGAACCTCAAGATCTTTTTATACATCAATGCTGCCATTAACTGTATACTTTTCCTGAACATTTGATCTCCCAAAGTACAGCTCCTCACACTTATCCAGATTAAACTCAATCTGCCATTTCTCTGCCCAATCCCACTGTATCCTTTGACAATTATCCATAACTCCACCAATCCTTGTTTCATCTGCAAACTTATTAACCCACCCATCTAAATATATATAGGATCCCTGTGGAACACCACCAGTCACAGACCTCCAGCCTGAAAAACACCCTTCCACCACTACCCTCTGCCTTCTATGGGTGAGCTAATTCTGAAGCCACATGGCCAAGTCATAATGGATCCATGCATCTTCATCTTCTAGATGAGCCTACCATGAGGCACCTTGTCGAAAGCCTTACTAAAATTCATGTAAGCAACATTCATTGCTCTATCCTCATCAACCACGTTTGTCACCTCCTCAAAAAATTCAATCAAGTTAGTAAGACATGACCTGCCCTGCACAAAGCCATGCTGACTGTTCCTATTTAGCCCATGCTTTTCTAAACGTGCATAAATCCTATCCCTAAGAATTTTCTCCAATAGCTTCCCAACCACCGATGTGAGACTCACTGGTCCATAGTTTCCTGGATTATCCCTATTTCGCTATTTCCCTATTTCCCTTCTTGAACAAATGAACAACATTAGCTACTCACTAGTCCTCTGGGACCTCTCGAGTAGCTAGTGAGGATACAAAGATCTTGGTCAAGGCCCCTGCAATCTGCTCTCTTGCCTCTCTCAGAAACCTGAGGTAGATACCATCAGGCCCTGGGGACTTATCCAGCTTATGTTCTTCAAGTGATCCAACATCACTTCTTTCTTGGTCTCAAAATACCCTAGATATTAGCATGATCCAGATAAATTTCACTATCCTCTATATCCTTTCCTGGGTGAATATCAAGGCAAAGTACTCAGTCAGGATGGCATTGCAAACCAGTGTCTGGCCAACTGAGCTAAACCAACTCGTAATATCTAATGTTACATCTCTGTCAAACCAGCAACACTTAAACTGCATTGTTTGAAGGGATTAATTTGAACCTCTTAAATTGGCCCATGCAATCAAATAGTCTAATTATACAAATCCCCTTTTAAAAATGGTCATGAAAATCACAATTAAAAACAAGATTTTCATTTATTTGTACATAGATGGCATCAAATTGTTATTGCCTGTGCGTTTATCCTATTGTGTAGGAGAACCGTTGAAATTCAGTTGTGTCGAATTAACAAATAACATCTTAATTGTATGAATCGGGATCAAGAAACATAATTTTGCTGTATTTAGCACATGAAATTGAACATTCACACCCACTGGAGGTTTGTGTCTGCAGTGCTATTGAGCAAGTCACATGAAAGAGAAGCTCAATTGTGTCACATACAAAGTTACAGGAAGCTTTAAGAGGATACACATGAGGAAGCTCTTACTCCACCTGGAGATCAGCTGAGATTTAATGTCAAAGAGGTCATGTTCTGTGGTGGGAAACAGCAGTTACAGAGTTTAAACTAATGTTTCTGTAGATAGGCAAATTGGATAACCATCTGCTGTTTGCTCCCTGCACACATGTCAGCACTTTAAAATTATTTTGAATGTCTATTTTGAAAAGATAAAAGGTGTAGAGAATAGGCAGAAACTAGATTTTTTTTTCCATCATCACCGTGACAGTGAACGCCACCTGGAAAAAGTTTCAAATCATACCTATTCTGAAAAATCCATCTTCAGTGCGTTTATATCTTGATTCTTTGGTCTCCTGAAGTAGGTCAGATCCTGAATCCTTAAAAAAAAAATTAACGAGTAAAATGAGCAAACAACATTTGCCAACTGCAGCAGAAAAAAAAGTGCAACCACAAAATTAAAATCAAATCTGCTGACCAAAAAATTATTGCAATTATCTTTGATTTGCTTTGTTAAAAAAAGTACATTTGTAGATGGAGTCTTAGCTTTAACTATTAGGAAATCTATTTAACTGCAGAAAATGGTGTTACATACGGCTTCCTGTATAAACAAGAAATAAAGTTAGAGGCATCTGGTGTATCTCACATTCCTGTGCGTCTCCATTGTGTTTTTGTGCTTCACATTGGGAAGATGTTTCCATTAGCAGGAGAGACTAGGGCGCAAGGGTACAGCTCTAAAGTAATTAGAAGGCCCTTTAGAATAGAGGTGAGGGGAAACTGTTTTAGCCAGAGAGTGGTGAATTTATTGAATTCACTGTCACACAAAGCTTGGAGGTCAAGTCATTGAGTATATTTAAGACAGAGATAGATAGGTTCTTGATTGTCAAGGGGATCAAAGGTTACAGAAAGAAAGCAGGAGAATTACAAGTTTCTCAAACCCAGCCATGATGGAACAGCGGAGCAGACTCAATGGGCCAAATGGCCTAATTGCTGCCCCCATGTCTTACAGTCTTTTTTAAACTCAGTCACAGGATGTGGGTGTCTCCAGCTAGGCCAACATTTATTGCCTATCCCAAAGGGCAGTTAAAAATCAACCACTTGGCTGTGGGTCTGGAGGCTAGATGAGTTAAGGATGGCAGATTTACAACCTTGAAGGATGGGCGTGTACAGCAGGGTTTAAATCTTATCACGGCAGATGGTGAAACTTGAATTCAATAAAAATCTGGAATAAAAAGATAGCCTAATTCCAACATTGGCAATTGTTGTATAACCCATTTGGTTCACAAAAGTATTCACTATTTCTATCCAAATAATCATCCAATGACCTCTTGAATGCCTAAATTGAACCTACCTCCACCACAATCCCAGGCAGTGCATTTCATACCCTAACTACTCACCACGTGAAAAAGATTTTTCTGTGTCATCCTCACTTAATTTGTCCATCACTTTAAATCTATGCCCTCTCATTCTCCCTATTTACTCTATCCAGCCCTCTCATGATTTTAAAAACCTCTATCAAATCTTTTCTCAGCCTTTTGTCTCCAATGAGAACAGTTCCACTTCTTCAATCTTCCCTCATAACAGAATTTTATCATTCCAGGAATCATTTTTACAAATCGCATCAGCATTCTCTCCAATGCACGGTGGCTCAGTGGTTAGCACTGCTGCCTCACAGAATCACGGACCCAGGTTCGATTCCAGCCTTGGGCGACTGTCTGTGTGGAGTTTGCACATTCTCCTCGTGTCTGCGTGAGTTTCCTCCGGGTGCTCTGGTTTCCTCCCACAGTCCAAAGATGTGCAGGCTAGGTGGATTGGCCATGCTGAATTGCCTGTAGTGTTCAGGGAGGTGTAGATTAGGTGGGTTTTAGGGGGATGGGTCTGGGTGGGGTGCTCCGATGATTGGTGTGGACTTGTTGGACTGAAGGGCCTGATTCTACACTGTAGGGATTCTATGATGATCTCACCTTTGATGTCACATGCACAACTGTACATAATACTCCAGCTGCAACCTAAAAAGTGTCTTGTATAAGTTCAACATCACCTCCCTAATCTTGTACTCCATTCTTCTATCAATAAAGCAGAGGAATGTTATGTTTTATTAACTTCTCTCTTTACCAGTCCTGCCACCTTCAATGATCTGTCCACATATACACCCAGGTCCCTACGCTTCTTCTATCTAATTCCTTCTTGAAAACATTCAATGTTTTGGCCTCAACTGCTTTCTTTGGCAGAGAATTCCACAAGCTCACAATCCTCTGGGTGAAGTGATTTCTCCTTATCTCAGTCCTAAATGGCCTACTTTGTAACTTTAGATTTTGACTCCCAGTACTGGACTCCCCAGTCATCACAAACATCCTTCCTGCATTTACACTGTCTAGTCCGGTTAGGATTTTATAGGTTCAATGAGATCCCGTTTCATTCTTCTGAACTCTAGTCAATATAGTCCTAACCGATCCAGTCTTTCTTCATTTGTCAGTCCTGTCATCCCAGGAATCAGTCTGGTTAACCTTTGTCGCACTCACTTTATAGCCAGAACATCTTTCCTTGGAACAGGAGACCAAAACTGCACACAATACTCCAGAGATGGTCTCACCAAGGCCCTGTACAAATGCAGCAAAACATCTCTACTTTGCATTCAAATCCTCACACTATGAAGGCCTCTCTCCCCTCTTCCCAGTCCAGTGGGACTTGCTGTTCTTTCCTGTTTGGCAGTTAGACATACCATTGTTCTGCCATTCTCAATCACTAATTTCTAATCACTTAATCTGCACTATCTACACTCTTCTCCCCCCACCCCAGCACTCCATCTCCCCCCTCCACTATTGCATAAATGCTGCCTCCTCCCCACTTCACACGAGCTCTGATCAGGAGTCATCTAGACGCGAAACATTAGCTTGCAAAAAAGGACTGCAGATGCTGGAAGTCAGAGTTAGTAAAACGTGGAGCCAGAAGAGCACAGCAGGTCAGACAACATCAGAGGAACAGGAAAATTGACATTTCAACCCGAAACCTTGACTTTCCTGCTCCTCTGAAGCTGTTCTCCTCCAGCTCCACATTTTAGCAACTCTAAATGTTATCTTGAGCTCTGTCCACAGATGCTGCCTGGCCCGCCGTGATTTCCAGCATTTTTTTGTTTTCAGCTAACATACTAATAGTCTTTTTCTCCACCTGTTGCACCTGCACACTTACCTTCTGCAATTGGTGCATGGGAACACCCAGGTCTTACTGCATCTTCCCCTTTCCCAATTTATTGCCAGTCAGATAATAATCTGCCTTCCCGCTTTTGCTATTAAAGTGGATAACTTTGTTTCATTATCAGTCGTATATCATTTCTGTTTATGGAACTTTGCTGTGTACAAATTCACTGCCATGCTTTTCTAAATTAGAACAATGACTTCCCTTCAAAAGTACTTATTTGATTGTGAATGCTTCAGGAAGTCCTGAAGACATGGCCCAGTGCCTATACAAAATATGTTTTTTTTGGCTGCTTCATCAGTCTCCACTGCTTCCCTCCAGTTCATTTTGATTTGTGTATCTGACCAATTTGCACTGCATCTCACAATGGAGATTAAGACTGAGACCAGTGTGCAAGGTGTTTTGCTATTTCTTGAATGAGACTCTTACAAAGCCTCTTTCTAAACACCTTCTGTAAAATCAATAAAAAGCCAATCTGGTCCATGCGCTTAATCTAAACAAATATTTGCTTCTTCAGAAACATTTAAAATTGTCAAACATAAATTCATACCGGATGTCCTTGATTAAACCTCATTTTTTTCTAAACGTGCACCAATCTCAACTCCCCCCCCCCAAATAATTTCTGTAACTGTCTATAAATGGCATTATAGTAATTGGATTTGTTGGCCAATTTATCCTTCTTGATGTTATATTGGCTACACTCCAGTCTAATTGCAGAGTTTGGATATTGAAGTAGTATTGAAGAATCATGATCAGCTTCTCTCCAATTTCCTTTAATAGTCAATGATACAAGCTACTAAAGCTCAGTAATTTATCTACCTCAAATTCTTTTAAACGCTTCAGCTCCAATTCCCTTTCTACTTTTATCTCCACCAATTGTTCATTCATTTGCATTCTTCACATTCATTTGTAAAAACCAATACAAACCACTTACATCATTGCTATGCCCTGTATTCTATTTCATCGCTGTTAAGGATTTATTATTTGTAGTCTGAAATAGCCCCATGATAGTTAAAGAGTGCAATAAAGTCACTAACTAAATGTTCTAAATTGTTACCATTACATGCAAAGTTCAGTTCAGAAATGGCAGTAAAGACAAAACTAACAAACGATGTATACCTGACATGACTAATGCATAGAAAGGTGGCTGTAAAATTTACTCCTCTAATTTGGCATATTGCCTTTACTGATTATTCACAGGACTTGAGAGTCAAAACAGGATATGAACTATAGAGCATTTTTATGGTTGATTAGACTGCAGACATTTCATATTTAATAATATATATAAAAATATTAAGCTTTACAGCAAGATTTTCTATTGAGAAATAGTAATCACTCCAATTAATTACAATATAACATTGAAGGTACTGTATAACAGCAAATTTGTTAAGAAGCAGCAATTCACAGATTGGAATCAGACAAAATGTGAATGCTGAGCCAAAGGAGATAGTAAGAGTGCCAACTAAATCGGGAGGGTAGAAGAAGAAAAGATTAATTTCAGAGCATGGAGCGTAAATGGCTGAACACGCAGCGACAAATGATGATGTGAAGGGAATCAGGAATTCACAAAACAAAAACTGCTAGAAGAATAGACAGTCCTCAGAGAGTTGCAGGGCTGGAAGAGGTTACAGACACAGAGAGATGAGGCTGAGCCGGGTGATTTGTATCAGGGTGAGAAAAGCGGTAAGCTAAAGTCGCCATAGTCCCAGAGGACCGTGGGGCTGCTCTCGCATTAGAGAGACACAGATAGTGGTGGTTTAACCTGAGGGCCAGCACGTCTCAAGCAAGGGATGAGGTCAAGAAGTTGGGACCTTCACAGTGGCCTCAGCTGGTTTGTAAATTGAACCTGCGCTGTTGGCACCACTCTGCATCATAAACAACCATGCAGCCAATTTGGCATAAGATTGTGAACAAGGACAGGAATGAAATTGGCAGCGAGGATCTAAAGCATGTGACCAAAGACAAAGGCTTCAGTCTCCACAACATTTAATTGAAAGAAATAGTGACCCAATAAGGCAAGATGAACTCAGAAAGAGGAAGAAGGAAGCTAGGAGATAAGACCGGAAAACATGGCTGGAGAATTAGTGAAGGCAGTGAAAGTAGGAGTTTAGGATTTCCTTGGAATTGTTACAAGCAAGAACTTGAGGGTTAAGAGCAGAGGTGGAACCAATTGAAAGGAAACAGTTGACATTGAAGGAAGGGAGCCAACAGGTTGTCTTTGCTCTTCAGATTGAACCTTGACTACTAGGCGGCTTTTGGCAGAAGAGACTGAGGGCTGACAATGTCCTCTAGTGTGATTTGCTGCTTGACTGTGCAATTAATTGGATGTGCAATATTACTAAAACATTTGAGGGTGAAAGCTAGTGGGCTATTCTGGAGACTCAACCAGGAGTGGAGAGGTTTCAGAAAGTGGGGCAAGAGCAAGTTGACAGCGGCAGAAGTATTCTTTGGCAAATGGAATGCAAATGAGACGAGTTCAGTTTAGGAAACCTGTCGGCATGGATGGGTTGGGCTGAAGGACCTGTTTCAGTGCTGTATGATTTTTTATTTCTATTCATGTTGTGGGACATGGGCATCGCTGGCTGGCCAGCATTTCTTGCCCATCCCTAGTTGCCCTCGAGAAGGTGGTGGTGAGCTGCCTTCTTGAACCACTGCAGTCCTCCTGCTGTGGGTTGACCCACAATGCTATTAGAGAGGGAATTCCAGGATTTTGACCCAGCGACAGTGAAGGAACGGCGATATATTTCCAAATCAGGATGGTGAGTGACTTGGAGGGGAACTTGGAAATGGTAGTGTTCCCATATGTCTGCTACCCTTGTCCTTCTAGATGGAAGTGGTCGTGGGTTTGGAAGGTGCTGTCTGAGGATCTTTGGTGACTTTATGACTTGGTAGTTGGAGAATTTGAAAATAGAGTAGTGAGTTATGGCTTATGAGGGCAGTTGTGGGTGAGGCAGAGATTTTGTCCAAAGAAAGATGGAGAAGTAGTATTTGAAGAGGGTAGGAGGATGCGAGTGGTGAGGAACACCAAAGAAAGCAATTGGAAATGGTTTCATCACTGATCAATACCATATAAGAGCAGAGAGGCGATGGAAGATGGAATGCTGATTGGTAGGATTATGGTTAAGAAGTTAACATGGAGGGAATGGTTAAGAGAATACAGGAGGAGTAGTGGTAAGGATCACTTGACATGGTGATAGAAATCATAGAGCATAAGCATTTGCTCAGTGCAAAGACTGAGGGCAGGGTGGAGGATAGGAGACAGAATATCTGCGGCAGTCACTTGGTGCTGATCTTAAGGAAACGTACAGATCAAGACTTCCAAGGCAGCCAAGTGTTGGAGAACAAAGTGAATGGGTCAAAGGAAGAGAACATTCCACGAAAGTAGGGGGGCCACACCAAAGTATGATTTGCTGACAAAGGCCATGTCACCACTGCGGTAGATTGACCATAAAGTTGATCTCAAGTATATCAAGATGCTTTTCCAAATGTTGTTTTGAATTGAATTGATCAGAGAAACCAATTTCAACCATTGTTCTTTTTGGCACATGCTAGATAACTTTGTTATACAAATGATTTATTTATTCTTCATCATATTACAAGTGCTGGCTGCTTTTAAACTGAACCTAGTTTTAATGAGATGTGAGGAATACCTTAAAGATGTTCTTTACCTTGTAAGGCAAAACTTCAACACTTGTGTTCAACAGCAAGTCTCCAGGATGTTCTGTATTCCCAGTGTGAAACAGGTACCTGAAACCAAGACAGCAAATGTGGTGGTTAAAATAATTCAAATAAGCCTTAACCTTCTACTTGCCTCTGTAACCACCATTACTAACATTACACTGACATGCTATGTTAGCAGTATCCAAATAATCCGGAGACCTAGGCTAATGTTCTGAGAGATGCAGGTTCAAATACTGCTACAGTGGCTGGTGAAATATGAATTCAATTAATAAATCAGGAATCTGAAGTTAGTCTCAGTAATGGTGCCATGAAAGTTCTATCGATTGTTGTAAAAATGCATCTGGTTAACTTTAGGGAAAGAAATCTGCTGTGTTTACTACACATGACTCCAGACTCACTGCTGTTTGAAATGGTTAACCAAGTCATTCAGTTTAAGAGCAAATAGAGATTGGCAACAAATGCTGACTTTGCCAGGGACCTACCTCCCTCTTTAAATAAAATAAGATTTCCTCCCTAGGCTGCTGTTTTGCCCTGGTGGAGGGTTAATCTGCTGATCACAAAATGTCAATGGTCAGGAAAAATGATGCATAAAAGGACCTTTGCATATTTAAATGGACTTCCTTATGGTGGGAAGGTGTCTGAAGCTGGTCTAACTGTTGATAAAATTCCTCCATGTGGACCAGAGGAACATTCCCCATCACTGACTACCTTGGAACAAGGTCAAACAAATGGTGTCTGCCAATGCTTGCTTTGAGAGAGCACGGGTCCAATTCTCATTCCAATTTCCCTCTGAGGTGGCCTGTCTCTCAGTTCAAACACCCCTCTCACTGTGGCAGGCCAGACCTCATTTTCCCCCCTACAACCCTTCCGCTAATGCTGTGGTGGCCCGACTGTCAATCCAAAGACCCTTGCCATAATAGCAGCCCATTTCCAACTCCTCCTGACCCTGTGGTGGGCCAACTCTCATTCCTCTTTCCCACTTGGCAGCCTGACTCTCAATCAAACAATCCCTGCCCCTACTAGTAGTCAGGCTGTCGGTATACAAAACCCTAGCCACTGCCCTCAAAAACCTGTGGTAGATTAACTCTAGTTTCACCCTTACCGTGGTGAATCAATTCCCAATCCAAACCCTTCCCTCCACCCATGGCACCCTGCTTCTCACTACCTAGCCTACTGTCCCCCAAACTCTTGTTTCCCCCAAACCCCAATATCCTTTGGCAAACCCACCCAACCAAGAATGACTCTTTGCCCAATCTCCCATAGCAACCCAACTCACAGTCTCTCTCCCCAGATGGTCTCACTCTCATTCCCCTTTGCCCCACCCTCCAATGCATCTCAACTCTCAATTCAAGCCCTTCTCCCCAGCCCCTGACAACATGGCTCTCACTCGCTCTCCTGTCCAAGCCAGTGTCTCCCATTCCTGTAGACACACTTTCACAGCTCCAGGCCTTAGGCTGCGTGAAATCACTCATATTGCACTTTGCCTCCAATCACAGACAGTTCCCCTCCCACGTTTGCAGCTGATAGGCTTATCAATCAGCTGCAAACACGGTAGAGACGCGGCCTCGGATTGATGAAGCAGCTCCTTTCAAAATCTTCCAGTGACAATTAATTAGAGTTTGAACAAAGGTTCCATGAGTCAGACAGGACCCCATGATGAGCCACATGTTGGCCTATGGGCTGCCATGAATATGTCTGACATAGATGTTTAATCATGATCTTATTGAATTGAGGAGAAGGCTCGAGAAGCTAGTCATAGGTAGGACTCTAAATTAATTAGTGATTGATGAATATAGCCATAAACCATATACATAGAATCATTTACCATCACTGTTATTCTGTTTTCTGTACTAGATATCAGATGTCACTTTATGACTCTAAGATGATAAGGAAAATTTCTTCTCTGGAGACTTCACCAAAGTGGGTGAAATACCAGGCTTCCCACTCTCATTGCCTTCCAATGCCAACCATATACGCTGGGCAGTTAAGGGCCTGAACAGGCCTGAGGCTGACTGGCTAGCTGGACTTACCCACACTGCTGTATTGTGGAAAGCAAGTCAGGAGTGGATTGGAAGGCAGTGAGATAGCTACAAGTCGATTTGAACGTGCTCTTCTATCATAGGGGGCCATAATAATCCAGGCACATGGAGCCAAATGGCCTCCTTCTGCACTGTAACAATTCTGAGTAAAATTGCCAATCTCAGCTCCATTATTATAACATGTGGTGGCTAGGTAGTTCCTCAGAAGAAGGGGATATAGAGCACATTGAAGACAACTGTTCAGTAGGACCTTTGTCTCGCAACTGAAAAGTTGTGAACTCAATATCTACTTGCGACACTAAAACTCAACCCAGAACTGCTTTAGTGGAACATTTAACATCGGTTAAATTAATCCTTCAAATAAGATATTCAACAAATAAACTTGTTTTCTGTCTTTCGATCAGTTATTTTTCAGAGCAGTTGCGTTTCAGTTGGACTGTCATGTGGAATACTGTAACAAAGAACAAAACGGTATGGCAGGGAAAAGAAAGTGTGTATTGTCCCAGAACAGCTATCCAGTACAGCCTTCAGAGGTCTAGGTTTGCAAATACTAATCTCCTAATGGGAAGTTTCAAAAGAAACATCAGTGCTGGCCTAAGGAACAAGTTGCAACATTCGGCCAGAAAATGACAGTGTGTAGGAAAGGGAAATCAGCTCTCCTACGAGTAGATTTAGATTTAGACTTTATTGTCATGAGTACTAAGCTGAACAGTATCTAAGATGACAAGGTGTAGAGCTGGATGAACACAGCAGGCCAAGCAGCATCAGAGGAGCAGAAAGGCTGACGTTTCGGGCGTAGACCCTTCTTCAGAGCTTATTTTGTATGTGAACACTCAAACATTGGTAATGGGCAATTAGCTAAAGTCCACAAAAGCCAATAGGCACCTCTCTCCATTAGAGACAGTCAATCGGTTATAAACAGCCTGAAGGGCAAATTTCCACAAATATGGGGTGAGCTGAGGAGGTAGGCTTCAAGGAACAACCACAGCTGGTGCAGGAACTGATCCCATGCTATTGGTCTTATTCTGCATCGCACACCGGCAATTGTGCTAACTGAGTTTCCACCATGATAAGCACATTGTACAAACTTGGGCTCATCACTCACTTGCAGAAAAATCACTCATATCACTGTAAATGATCCATACATCGAAATTACTCTACTCCACCACTTCCTAACATAAAACATTGACTATAAAGGAGTGTGACACAATACAATTGCAGTAAAACTATGCAGCATTTACCAAGGTCACAAATATCAAGTGCTATAATAAAGAGATACTTCATGTTTGATGTATGTGGACAATTTCCATTTATTTTGAATAAGCTGCATTCACTCTGAATTAAACAGCACTGCACAAAACACAAATTTAAATAAATCTTCATGCCATTACTTGGCCTGAATCAGAATTTCATTCAATTTGTGATTTCAAAGCAAAGATATCCTAAAGAAATCTTATTAAACCTGAAACAGAAACTAGGTCAGCACTTACAATGCTTTCATAACCTTTAAATCTGATGAGCTGTTCTGCATTCAAAAGGTCTTTAAACAGAGAAGGTAATTGAATAGAACTGAAAAACATTAGCACAAGAGACTAGAGGGAGAGGCAGAAAACATTTTGTTTTCCATAACAGTTTACATTATCATCTCAAACACAAGGAAGCACATATTTAGTCAGAGTAAAGCTTGACGTAATTGCCCATCAGATACATAATTTGGGCTTCTTACATATCAATGTGCAATTTAGTTTAAAATACTGAAAATCACTTGCTGTGTGCCATGAGGAATCCCAAGAAACAATTCAACCATGCGATGAGGGTAGTCAGTAAATAGAGATTCCAGCTGACTTTTGTACTGAACTAGCCTTGTGCATTTGGAGCTCTGATGCACCCACAGTCAGCAACTCCATTACTACACTGCTGTTTCCATTTAGCAGAAATGATGCCAATAGTCTGTTGGTCTGTTACAAAACTTTCATTTTATCATACAAATGCCTATTTTCCCAATGTGACATGGTAACAGAAAAGTTACTCAAGAGTTATATGAGCAATATGTTGACAGAGGTAAGTATACTTTGCAAATTCAATATCAAAATATTGTTTCAGAGTGGCAACTGGCAGATAGCGTTAAAGAAAGCCAAAATAAAATTATTTGATTTTCAGCATCCTTTGACACACAATAAACATTAAAAGTGTAATTTGGGAGTAGATTCAACAGTATGCATTTTAAGCATTGGTGCTAAAGTCACGTTTTACTCAGGCTTTCACACTTGTATTCCTCGAGACATTTTGCAACAAATACAAATGTACAGTAAAAACAATTCATATACTGCATGAGAGGAGAGCGCTGTTTGGTTGGCAAGTTAACTCTGAATAGTAGAGACATTGCCTTGGAGAATGCACCAATTAGACAATGACTGACAGTTAACTCCCAAGCATACTAAAAATTTTAAACCAGGCAAGTTGACTCTGATTGGGCAAGGCATTTCCCTGAGGAAAGAACCAAAGAATGGGCTGTCACTTATTCTGTTGAGTTGCAACAGGCACAGTGAGTACATATTCTGTCTGTCTGTAATGAACAGGGCCCTGTGTGTTAATATATACAGGTACGCACAGGTGCACTACATTGCAGACTTGAGTGACTATCCTAAATTGGTTGTCAGAATAATTATCCACATATTCAGGATCATTTGGCAAATGTTGTTCAATTGTGGAATCACATCTAATATTGGACACTACATACTGAGTATTGCAAGTATGGCAAAATTGGATATGGTCAGCATCTTGTTCATTGCAAACAGCTAAAGGGATATACTAGCCCTATCTGATCCACCAGTCTATGGAGCATATGAGCCTACTTACATCAATAAAATTCATATAACACGTTCCTCATTTGTGAGATAGGCAGAACTTGTTGTCAAGTCAAAAAGGCAGTTGTAGACAGCCCCCTGGCCAATTTACAACTGTCCAATACAAGCCTACATACACATTGAGATTCCTCCAGCTCCATGCTTGATAAGATTGGCCTTATAGACACAAAGCCATTTTTTCACCAGGCTGAAATAGGGCACATCAAAGGCATTCTGCAGGATAATGGCTGCCCTGGTTCATATTACTTCTCACTGTAGTATGTGCAAACTCATGAATGGGCCTAAAGCCATAAACTTTACTCCTGAAAAGTACCAGACTACCAAAGATTACCTTGAGAGGCAGTAATCTCAAAGGTTTGAACAATAGATGAAGCTCCCTGTTTCATGCTGCTTTTATGCAGTGGTGTTTGCCACTAAGGGGATGTCGTTGCCAAGCCAAAAAAAAATCTTCTGCCAATTTTAGAGGGACAGATCAATAATGTTGGCTTAAGGGCAACTGATGATTTTCTTCCAAGCGCTGGAATTCCTTCGTCTTTCCCACCATCTGGTCATTTCTTTTGTCTTCTGCTTTTGCCAATCCTTTCCTGACTGATTGTGTCCAGGCAGTTCTGTCAGCAGCACAGACTTTCCATATATTAAGTCTGATCATGGTCAACTTGAGGTCTTGCTTGCAGACATTCTATCACAGATGTGTGTAACCTGTTGCCAATAGCAAGCTGGCCATAGAGCACATCTTTAGGATGCAGTTATGATCTGTTTGGCTCACATGACTAGTCAACATAATGCCCATTGACTCAAGACAGCCAACACTCTGGGAATGCTTGATTCTTGGTGACCTTCCACATTCAGCACTTGAGAGATGTCCAGTATTCATCTGAGGCAGCAAAGATGGAAGCTTTTCTGCCTCTTTTCTTGGCTTGCATCAGTTGCAAACTGGTCCAAATGCAACTTTGTAATACTCAGTTAGTCTGCTGTTGGCCCACACTCAGCTTCTGACGAAGGTCCTGATGAAGGGTCTAGGCCCGAAACATCGATTTTCCTGCTCCTCTGATGCTGCCTGGCCTGCTGTGTTCCTCCAGCTCCACACTGTGTTGACTCTGACTCCAGCACCTGCAGTTCTCGCTATCTCAGCTTCTCAACTTTGACACGGCATATGCAATCTGGGAAAATCCTGATGCTAATTTTACAATCAAGAGATAGCTCAGTCGTAATTCTTGAAACTTTAGATGACGTCCAGAGTGAGGTTGTCCATTTTGGTGGAAGGAGAAGTCTACACATCATGGTCTATGTCTTTCTGATGCTGACTGTCAGTTTGAACACCTCACAGATGCAGGAGGACTGATCTATTGCAAGTGAACTTCAGTAGTGGAATGTCTCGCCAAACAACAACTCACTGACATTACACACTTTGGTCTTGGTGTGCAGACTTGCCAAGTTGTCATTAGCTCTGGCATATTGGCAGATGCCCTGATTTGAGTCACTGAAAGCATGAAGAAATGAAATTGCCAAAGAGTTGGTCCAGGTTGCAGCCCTGCTGCTGTTCTTGAGTGCATGTGATGTAAACTGGCAAAAGTGTGTGTGTGCTTGTTGGAAAAATCAATGAAAACTAAAAATCCAGAAAAGCAGTCTATTTCTGCATAGTTTAAAAGAATTTGTCTCTTCTGATAAGATCTTGGTTAGGTCTATGAAATCAATGTAAAGTGGTCTGCAAGTTCGCAGCACAGCACATGGAATAGGAGGTAATGTGCTGCCATGGATTCATGATTGGTTAACAGATAGAAAAAGTAGGAACAAACGGTTTGGTCTCATATCAGAAGGCTATGACTAGTGGGGCACTGCAAAGATTTGGTACTCTGACCCCAGTCAAAAACCATAATTGCTGGAAAATCTCAACAGGTCTGGCAGCATCTGTGGAGAGAAATTAGAGTTAATGTTTTGGGTCCAGTGACTCTTCTTCAGAACTGACTGGGCCCAGAATGTTAACTCTGATTTCTCTCTGTAGATGCTGCCAGACCTGCTGAGATTTTCCAGCAATTTCTGTTTTTGTTTCATATTTCCATCCACAGTTCTTTAGGGGTTTTTTGTGTCCATGTCAATCAGTCATTGAAGACATTGAGGAACAAGCTATTAGGAAGGCTAATAGAAAATAAGACTTTGTTGCAAAAAGATTTGAGTCCAGGAGTACTGAACAGCTGAATGGACTGGATGCAGTAAAGGCTGTAGGACCAAACTAGATTTCAGTTTTAGTAATGAAGACTTATGTTACAACATTAGCTGCATCCCTAGGCAAGCTGTTTCAGTACAGCTATAACAATGCCAACTGCCTGACAACATGGAAAATTGCTCAGGTAGGTTAAGTCCACAAACAGCCAGGACAAATTTTACCTGGCCGATTACTGCCTATCTACTCAAGATCATCAAAATTAATGGAAGGTACTGTTGACAGTGCTATCAAGCAATATTTACTCATCAGTAACCTCCTTACCAATGTTTAGTTTCTGTTCTGCCAGGACTGCTGAGCTCTTGTGTTCTGTGAAGTTTTTGGGATTTCTTTGTTAAACATTGCAACATTCTAACAGATGGAAGAAGCCTTTGCTGATCATTAAGCACTCAATATTTCTGTACTTTATCATCCTATGTAAAAATCACAGCAACAAATTTCCTGTAAGAAGACTTCACCATTGTAAATCATTGTCCTTACCTATCTATATTCAATGGCTTGTCAAACTTGACAAGTATATAGTCACCAGTGAGAGGAGTGATTCCCCAGAAGAAGTCCTCTCCCAGATAAGCTTTGTCCAATGAATGGCCTTGGTAAACTTTTAGAGATGTTGAAACTTCTGCAGGAGGATTCACGTGCATTTTGTGAAGTAAAGGCTTCATAAAATCTTTATCCTGAGGACAGTAAACAAGGACACCACAAAATTTTAGCCATTAAGTCTAAACAAATCAATTAGCAGCTTTGCAACATATAAAAGAACATTGGGCACCCATTACTTAACTAATTTTACATGCTAACAATTGCATTTACATGAAAATTAGAATATGACATTTTTTAACTGCTTCAAATTAGTCCTCTTTCACTGCAATTCCATTCTGTCACTTTATTCCAAAGAAGAAAGTTAAATGTTTTGAGTGTTATTTGGGAGGTTTCTACCATTAAAGATGTGGATGCCTTAGAAAAGTCGGAAGTTGGTTTCCAAATATACACAAGGGACATCAAGGGCAGAAAGGAAAGCCATAATGAAATGCTTTTTGGAATATGCTGCATTTGTGTTTGGCTGGCAGTTGAATAAGTTCTACAGCTGTTTGTATTTACCAGTGGCTGTCAGTGTTAGCTTGCTACCGTACTATAAAGAAGAGGATTCCATGGTGATGGAGATTACAATTTTAACACTGTTAGGACAAAATGAAGGTCATCAGATAAATTAAAGAGTAAACAATGGCCTGGATTAGAATATGCTTTGGACATTTGAAGGTTTTGGATGAAATCATAGATAGTAAGCTCAAAGCCTTTATTCTGTGCCTAGCAATTTCTACCTTTATTCTAATTTTTCCTCTCCAGGTACCTGTTGAAACATGTTTCTGAGAGGGTCTTCAGCAATCTAATATCATTTGTCATATTACCAAACTTTAAATCTTGGTGGTGGCACAGCCATGAACTCCTCACTCAACACCCAAGTTGCACTTCCCAGCATGAGACAACAGAGAGCAAATGGGGAATATTGTAGCAAGTAGCAAATGAACTTGCTAAGATCAGCTATCCCAGCACAGATCTAACCTGGAATCTTTCTAGTCAGTATGCTCAGTAACACACCTATTCAGAGCATGATCATTAACGGGACTCCAACTATTCTACAGGGACTTGTTACAGATAGTTTGCTGCCAATATCTGCTGATGAACACCAAACATTCTATATTTGACTGAGGAAAATGACACCGGGAAGTGTGAGGCGGCATTGATACAAGGAAGAGTCAAGTAGAAATCACACAGGGATTGGTCTTGATATAATCTTGGTGTTACAGGGGTACAACAATATAGTTGATTCTACTGGTGATCTACTGACTTCCAGAACTCCGGAGAAATGGTCCAATGCATTATGGGACAAATAGTAATTAAATTAATGCACCTCCTACAAATACTACAAACTGGACAGGTTACAAGGCAGTACCAGTGGGTTTCTGTTTGTCAGTACGGTTATAAGTTGATTTGTACGCCATTGTGAGCACAACACAATACAATGTAAAATAGTCATTTGTAAGTAGGAGAAAACGTCTGCATGTTGGATCTGTAAAGTTAATGTTAATGTGCTATCTCATTGGTAAGTACAAGTGCTCATAAGTCAGATGTTTGTAAATCGGGGCTATCTATATCAGACTTTGATTGTAAAAAAAACCCAAGTTAAAGTTTTCCCGCAAAACAAGTAAACATCGTGTTATAAAGGAAAGATGCTTGCAGTACAAAACATGTCCCCACCTCATTGGCAACACGTAGCACTCTCCCTGGGGAATCATTCAAATTCAGAGGTGCTAAGCAATTGATGGACTCTAATGTTCAATTTAATAACAAGAGTAGAAAATGCGGATTAGCAGGGATTAACTGTCAAGTAAAAGTGCTTTTTGAAAACAGAGGGCTATGAGATTTCTGCCATTTGGAAGAAGTTGACCTTAACCAGATAATAATGTCTCTTGGGAATCTGTGTTGTAAGGAATTGTCAGCGACATTAGTTTGATCTCACTGGAAAAGTGGTGATGTAAGGTAACTTTATCAAAGATTTTTTTAAAGGTAAAGATTGGGGTGGGAGTTGAACAAACTGACATGGGAACTTCACTTCATTATTAAAATAAATAACTACATTCAGCTAAAATATTTTGAACAAAGGGACAATAAAGAATAATTAAATCAACAAGCAATTTGAGAGTTCGCACAGTTTGAAATTTCATACTACAGTTTGTTAAGAGACATTAGGAAGGCAAATGGAATTTTGTCCTTCATTGCTAAAGGGATTGAAATAAAAAGCAGAGAGGTTATGTTGCAGCTGTACAAGGTGCTGGTGAGGCCACACCTAGAGTACTGTGTGCAGTTTTGGTCTCCTTACTTGAGAAAGGATGTACTGGCACTGCAGGGGGTGCAAAGGAGGTTCACGAGGTTGATTCCGGAGTTGAGGGGGTTGGCTTATGAGGAGAGACTGAGTAGATTGCGCTTATATTCATTGGAATTCAGAAGCTTGAGGGGGGATCTTATAGAAACATATAAAATTATGAAGGGAATAGATAAGATAGAAGTAGAGAGGATGTTTCCACTAGCAGGTGAAGCTAGGACAAGAGGGCACAGCCTCAAGATTAGAGGGAGCAGATTTAGGACTGAACTGAGAAGGAATTTCTTCACCCAGAGGGTTGTTAATCTATGGAATTCCTTGCCCAGTGAAGTAGTTGACGCTACTTCAGTAAACGCTTTTAAAAAAAAATAGATTTTTTTTGAACAATAAAGGAATTAAGGGATATGGTGAGAACGTGGGTAAGTGGATCTGAGTCCACGAAAGGATCAGCCATGATCTTATTGAATGGCAGAGCAGGCTCGAAGGGCCAGACGGCCTACTCCTGCTCCTAGTTCTTGTGTATTATAATGTGGTCTGGTGAGGGCCAGAATTTTCCATTGGCAGAGATCTTGCAGCTCGATATTTTCAAACGAGGCTTTCTCTTGACAATTTCTTTCCATCAAATAACATTTTCTGCTTTTACTGTTGAACAGAACATGAAACAGTCCTTCAACAACTTTGCACCTTTTGACTAGAATAATAGCACTGGGGCAGTGCTCAGCATTTTAAAATGCTTTATAAATGATAGATAGGAGAAGAAGGCCTGTTTTGTAATGCAGGAACTTTTCTATTTTTTTTGCATTGTTTTACCGAAAAATCTAACTTCAGTTTTCTTTTAAAGGAGAATTACTTCATTCAGCATTTTGTAATTTATTTGTCATGGGATATAGACATTGCAGGCTAGGCCAACAAGTTTTGCTTGCCCCTAGTTGCCCTTCAGAAGGTGCAGGTGGGCTAGTTTCTTAAACTGCTGCAGTTGAACAGTGTAGATTAGGAAGAGAGTCCCAGGACTTTGACCCAGTGATAGTGAATGATCACTGATATATTTCCAAGTCAGGATGTCGTGGGACTTGAAGGGGAAGTTACAGGTGTTGTTTCCATAGCCCTTTTAGGCAGGAGATTACAGGTTTGAAAGATGAATGAACCACGGTGAGTTGCTGCAGTGCATCTTTAGGAGTGGAGAGAGTGTGACTTTAAGGTGATGAATTGGTTGTTCAAAAAAGAAACAGAAACAACAAAGACTCGTTTGGGTTTCCTCCGGGTGCTCCAGTTTCCTCCCACATTCTAAAGATGTGCAGGATAGGTGGATTGGCCATGCTAATTTATCTGTAGTGTCCAGGGATGTGTAGGCTAGGTGAATTAACCACATGAAATGCAGGATTATAAGGACATTGTAGGGGAATGGGACTGGGTGGGATGCTCTTTGGAGGGTTGGTGCGAACTCAATGGGCTGAAAGGCTTGCTTCCGCACTGTAGGGATCCTCTGATTCTTCTATGATTCTATGAAACCCACAGTGACTCTGCCTAATTTTAGAGACAGTACGGTGGCTCAGTGGTTAGCACTGCCGCCTCACAGTGCCGGGGACCCAGGTTTGACTCCACCCTCAGGCAACTGTCTGCGTGAATTTTGCACAGCGTCCCTGTGTCTGCATGGATTTTTTCCAGGTACTCTGGTTTCCTCCCACAGTCGTAGGTTAGGTGGATTGGCCACGTCAAACTGCCCATAGTGTCCAGGGATGTGCAGGCTAGGTGGATTAGCCATGGGAAATGGAGGGTTACAGGAATATGGCAGGGGGTGGCTCTGGGTGGGATGCTCTTCAGACTCAATGGGCTGAATGGCCTGTTTCCACCCTGTAGGGATTCTAGTCTTTGTTTTTGCTAAATCTAATTTGTATGTATTTCTCCCTTTTTCAAAAAAATGCTCATGGTTTAACTGGGTTTAAAATAAATTGGAATCAGTTCGTTGACATGGATACACCATCACACGTGGGAACACCACTCACCATGTACATGGTAAATACTCATGTGACTCGGCCAATGTTGTCTACCTCGTATGCTGTAGGTAAGGATGTCCTGAGGCATGGTATATTGATGACACCATGCAGACGCTATGACAACGGATGAATGGACACCGTGCAACAATCGCCAGACAAGCATGTTCCCTCCGAGTTGGGGAACACTTCAGTGGGCAAGGGCATTCAGCCTCCGACCTTCAGGTAAGCGTCCTTCAAGGTGGACTCCAAGGCAGATACAACATCGCAGAGTTGCCAAGCAGAAATCGAAGCCAAGTTCCATATCCATGAAGACGGCCTCAATCATGATCTTGCATTCATGTCGCGCTACATGTGACCCCACCACACTGTTCTGTACTTGTAAAACCTTCCTTACTGTTTCAGAG